AAAGCTGTTCAACATCGCTTGTCATCAGGGACGTGCAAATCAGAACCACAAGAAGCTATCACCTCACACCTGTCACAATGGCTAGAATCAAAAAGACAAGAAATAAGTGTTGGCCAAGATGTAGAGAAAAAGGGAGCCCCCGTGCGCTGTTGGTGGGAATGCAAACTGGTGCAGCCACTGTGGAAACAGTATGGCGGTTCCTCAAAAAAATTAAGAACAAAACTGCTATATGATCTAGCATTCCACTTCTGGGTATTCATCCAAAGAGAATGAAAACACGAATTCAAAAAGATACACGTACCCCTCCATTCACTGCAGCATTATTTATAACAGCCAAGGTATGGAGACACCCCACCAATGAATGGATGAAAAAGCTGTAGCATATACATGTAATGGAGTATTATTCAGCCATAAAAAAGGATGAAATCTTGCTGTTTGGGACAACACAGATGGACCCTGAGGGCATTGTGTTAAGTGAAGTCAGTCAGATGGAGAGAAACAAATACCATACGTATAATCTCACTTATATGTGGAACTTAAAAAACACAAACCCAAAAAACTGAAGCTCACAGATACATAGAACCGATCGGTGGCTGCCAGAGACAGGGGCTGGGGGAGACAGGTGAAGGGGTTCCAAAGGTACTATTTTCCAGTTATAAATAAGTCATGGAAATGTAATGTTAAAAAGCATTTTTAAAATCATGTTTGCAGTATCTACTGGATTTCAGGCACTGGCCTAGAAGCAGAAAAAAGAATTTTCTTTTTTCTTTTAAGTAGGCTTCATGCCCAAAGCAGAGCCCAACACAGGGCTCAAACTCATGACCCTGAGATCAGGACCTGAGCTGAGTCCAAGAGTCAGACGCACAACTGACTGAGCCACCCAGGCGCCCCTGAAAAAGGGATTTTAAAATGAGAATGCACATCTCAAAATATTTTTAAGGAGTATTTATTAGACACCTTTTTTGTCTTTCCTTCTCTTTTTCTTTCTTAGCATGAGGCGACAGGTGAAGGAGAGAGACCATGTGACCAAATAGGATACTGAATTAGATGCATCGTTATTTTCTAAATGAAAAGCAGAACATGGGGTCTGGCAAGTGTAATAAAAAGAGTGTTTAAAATCAGGGCTTTCCTGGAAGAGCAATGCCTCGTCCATCTGTGGGAGGACATCACTAAGGAATTCTCAAGAAACAGGCAAGAGGACACCAAAGGACAAAAAGAACGGAGTGGGACACCAGCCAGCTGTGGAGCCATTTAAGCCAGCTAGATGTCCTCACTGGGGGGGGGGACAGGAAACCCTCCCTTCCAGGTGGGGCTGCAGAGGGCGTGCCCCAGGTGAGGGCAGAAGACAGAGGGCCAGATCTGTGGACACTTGAAATTCCCTTTGTTAACTGATGGCCTCTATGAAATTCCCTTTGTTAACTGATGGCCTCTATTCTTTCCTGTTTGGGATCTCTCCCTGCATGGTCTTCCTAAGTCACTGGAGGGAGGCCACCCCATGGACCCTCAGCCTTAGCCTCAGGCTCTGGCTGGCAGGACTGGGCAGGGTTTGAGGTGCTGCCTGGTCTGGTCGTGGGGCATGGCTCATACTTTCTGGGCTTCTCATCTCCTGGGGCTTTCCTCTCGCACAGTGGTGCAGTAGTGGATGGGCAAGGAAAGAACCCAGGGTTCAGGGGCCATGGATGTTGCCCCTCTGAAAGTGTGGCAGGAAGGTCTTTAGTTGCTTCCAGCAACTCCCAAACAGCTCAGCCTGGGGCCCCTGAAGCAAAATTATCAGCCATTTGAAAATCACTTTAATATCTTGGTATAAAGATGCCTTATTTGATGATATTCTATTATTCTGTTCTATCAGGCTGGCGGCAGTCACACAGATGAACTGCTTCCTAATCCTGAAGATGCCTAGATCTCACCTGCGGATGACTGAGTGATGTCCGTTCTAGGTCAGGAGGTTTGGGGTTCCCATGCACAACCGGGTCCGTGGCTCTGTTAGGTTACTGGCATGGTGCCCCCAGAGGCTGAGAGATAGGAGTGGCCAGAAGAGACAACCCAAGACACAGGTCTGGAAGACACTGAGCAACCCTGTCACCTCAGGCTTTTATCTCTCCCTCAGGGGGAAGAGTGGCTCAAGGCGTGGTCCTCAGACCAGCTGCATCAGCATCTCTTAGGAACCTGTTACAAATGCTAATTCTCAGGCTCATCCCCAGACCCGGAGAGTTAGACACCCTGCGGCTGGAGCTCAACTCTGTGTTTGAACTGCCCTCCAAGTGATTCTGATGTGCCTAGAAGTTTGAGAAGCCCTGGGCTGCAAGAATCCATTCTCCTTTGGGGTAGAACCCAGAACTCCTTTGGGAAAGTACCCAGATTCCCAAATGGATATGAAACCACAGCAGGGATGCACACCTTGCCAAGCCTGAAGGATGAGCTGGGCTCATGTGTGGCTGGAGGAGGAGAACCGTTGGTAGATAAATCCAGACTCGAATCTCAGACTCTGGGCTTTAACAAGGGTTAGAAGCGTCTAGACTACAAACACAGGGGTTGGTGCTGGCTCTGCCCTCTGCCACTCAGCAGGGGGTTGAGAGTGGCTGTAATTTGAGGCAGGGATCTGGGGCTTTGTATGACATCCTCTTCAATACAAGACAGCAACATTCTCTACAACTTTCACTGTAAACCTCAAGGTCTCAGAAATAACGATCGTTTGGTTCACTGTGCTAATGAAAACATTCTGAAGAATCTGAGGCAGGGAGGGGTTTATGGTAAACTCTAAGGTGACCTGGCAGAGGGAGATCCAGGTTTTGTGGGGCATGAAGCTTATATTAGTGGCTTCATTTAAGGAAAAGAATGCAATTATTACAATAGCCAAGATATGGAATCACCTTAAGTGTCCACTGATGGATGAATGGATAAAGATGGTGTATATATCCACAATGGAGTATCAGCCACAAAAAAGAATGAGCTCTTGCCACTTATGACAACATGGATGGACTTAGGGGGTCCTATGCTAAATGAAAGAAATCCGAAAAACAAATACCGTATGATTTCGCTTATATGTGGAAGCTAAAAATCAAACGAATAAACAAAAAGCAGAAACAGATCAAAAAATAGTAGAGCTGGTGGTCACCAGAGGGGAAGGGGCCAGAGAGAGGGGCAAATCGGGTGGAGGGGAGTGGGAGGTCCAGGCTCCCAGTGACGGAATGAGTAAGTCCCAGGGATGCAAGAGACAGCACAGGGAATATAGTGGATGATCTGGTATTAGTGACAGATGGGACCTACACCTGCAGGGAGCAGAGCATGCCACAGATGACGAATCACCGTGTTGTACGCCCGAAACTCATGTAACGTGTGTCAACTGCACTTCAAGGTAAAAAAGGAAAGAATGCAAAATGTGTCATGTTCACAGGAACACATGGGCCCTCCCAGGGCCTCTGCACGGCCTGCACGGTGTGGGCCCCTGAGCTGAAGCTCCGTTAGCCCCCCCAGTAAACGGGCCTCCTGGTCCTGGAGGGGCACGTCCTCCCCTCGTCCTTGGGGTCTATGTTTTCTCCTGGCTCTGACTGCATTCGGGCCGCCTAGGGGCTACCTAGACGCTTCAGCCTCTCTCCTCTGCAGGCTCTTCCCCTTCTCCCTCTCCTCCCACTGCTGCTGTGTGCAGTCACTAGACGTGGTTCTAGGAAAGACCCCGGGGACCGACGAGATTTTATTGCTATGAAGACATCACTTTCCACTGCTCATGTTTGCTTACTTGTTTCTCTTTGGTGATATTTTCACTTCCATCCTTTTACAACCACGGAAGCGCCAGGGGAAAAGAAAAACAATGAAAAACTAGGAGAGAAACACAATAGGGAAGGTGCAACAAAGAGGAAGGGCAGTGAGGGGTAGAAGAATCTAGACCAAGCCGATGGAGGCAGGAGGCAAAATCCGGGCAGGCAGGATGCCTCCGTGAATGAAGGTGTGTTGGCTCCCCTGTCAGCAGCGGGTGGAAGAAAGGGCAGCAGAGAAGGCAAGGCTGGGTGTGAAGGGCGGGGGGGCGGGCAGCCTCCGTGGACCGCATGGGGCGGGGCCTCCGTGGACCGCATGGGGC